TTCTCCTTTTCACGAGTATCCCTCAACAAAAAGAGAGCAAGCAGGTCACGCCTTGCTCCAGTCTAAGTCCAAGCCACCAGATCAATTTCAAAGGAGACACATGTTAGCTTGAGAGTATCCGATTGCAGAGTTGTTTAATAATAACTACTTAACAGGCAACAAAAGCATAGGTTTGCTCAGAAAAAAATGCTAAAATCTTGGTGTAAAAAAACCAGTTTCTTTATGCCTCTGAAACTACTAAATGCTAACTGTAGTCCTGGTTGTTGCCAGCACCAACTCAGCCAAGTAATTTAAGGCACAAAAGTGGGAGTGAATACATATTGTTGATTTGTTAAATCACTCATTTTCCCCTAAATAAAGAACAAATACAATTTTTAAGTGATCACATTCTTTTAACAAAATTTGCCAACATCATATTGTTTTTCCTCACTGAAGGTTGGGCTCTGAGGAACATAAATTTATCACACTCATCAAAAACAATGAACCATAAATACGTATTTGGAATATGATCATATGATATTTCTGACATTTTCACATAGAAAAAAATGCTGTTAACCTCTAAGTCAATGCTTCCTACTTCAGGAAAGAGAGTGCTAGAGTGAAAAGTACAGGCCAATGATAGTCTCCAGACTAGTTCCCTTGACTATCAGAAATCAAAAATATATCAACTAGGAGATACAGCAGCTCAATCAACACACGTTTGTGTTCCCAAAAGAAAAAACTCCAAATTAAAACAAAAAACCTCAGCAAACATAACTACAAAACAAACAAAGCCAAAGCAACTCTGTTGGGTATTATTAACTATTTTCCATAGTACAGAAAGGAACTTACTATTCAAGACTTAAAAATCAAGTCAGGTGTGGAGCTGATGCTAATCAAAGTTTCTGACTTCCAGGTACGTGTCCTAAGCACCAGATCATTCCTGTAACTCTTTCCATTCTGACCACTTGTTGCCTTTTTCTTTCTAATCCTCTGAAAAAAACCACCCATGCAATCATTTCACCCCTTCCTATTCCATTAGACTACACTCATCTGAAGGGAGCTACAAGAAAGATGGAGAGAGACAATTTACAAAGGCATAGCGATAGGACAAGGGGTAATGCCTTTAACCTGAAAGAGGGCAGATTTGGATTAGATATTGGAAGAAATTGCTGTGAGGGTGGTTATGCATTGGAACAAGTTGCCCAGAGAAGTTGTGGACGCCCCATCCCTGGAAGTGTTCGAGGCCAGCTAGGATGGAGCTCTGAACAGCCTGGTCTGGTGGAAGGTGTCCGTGCTCAGGGTAGGGGGGTTAGAACTAAATGCTCTTCAAGGTCCCTTCCAACCCAAAACATTACTTGATTCTGTTATTCCTCAGACCCTCCTCCATCTCTCCTAAGCCTCCACTCTGGACACAACTCTGAAATCCTCACTCTTCTCCATGACCTGCAACAATCAATTCCATCAAAACTCGCACTACCGCCCCATTACTATAGTTTTTTAATAAAAACATTAGGTGGTCTTAGAAGTTATAATAAGATGTCTAGAATTCAGGAGTCCGGCAGAGCAGCGAGCCAGGTGCCTGATCCTGTCTCCATTTCATAGGTTTGACATCAAAGTCTGACCCAAGCACGGCAGCCCTATCTCTCTGCCATTCTCCCCTTACGCTCTGTGCTCTCGCCAGGGCCCTGGAGAGGAACCTCCACAGCTCCGCTGCCAGCCCTCCCTAGGCAGCCGAGGCCTCAGCCCGGCTGGGACCAGGCCGGACTCAGTTCCCAGGCCCCGCGGTCGGCAGAGACTCAGCCCCGCAGCCATCGGGCAAGAGAAGCTCCGGGATGTATTTGGAAAGCAGGGGGACTCTCGGCCGCACACGCCGCCCCCTCACGGCCCTTACCGGCGCGGCCTGTTCCCCTCCCCGGCAGGGCCGTACCGTCGCAGAAGCCGTCCCTGGGCGGGCTAGTAGCTCAGCCCCGCGCCCCCATGTCCCGCGGAGCGGGACGACGAGCGGAGAGCGGCGGGAGGAGCGCGGGAGGAGCACGGGAAGAGGCTCGGGAAGAACCGCGGGAAGAGCACCGGGACGAGAGCGACCGCACCACCCACCGGAGCCCGCTCTGACCCGGTACCACGCAACACCGCGCAGCGCGATTGGCGCCTACAGGGCGCGGCTCTCCCCCAATCATAAAGTTCTTTGTTCCTGGGTAAGGCGCGGTGCAGCCCGGGAGATGTAGTCCGAGGGCTGTAGTCCAGAAAAACGCTCCTCGCTCAGCTCCATTTGTTTTGGATTTATTTTTTTTTTCTCCTCTGACGATGGTTATCACCAGGAGTTGAATTTACTGCTCAAATAAAGTGTAGCATGTACTGTAAAACAATCTAGTGTGAACCACACCTAATGCTGTATGGACAGAGAGTGCCCATCTCCTGGTTCGAAACTCGAAGTTGGTATTCCCTACCCTATGAGAGGCCGACGATTAAATTTAGTTTAATATAGAATCAAAGCATCGTTAAGGCTGGAAAAAACCTCTGTTGCACCAGGTTCAACATCTTGATCCTTTAGGACGGTTAGGGTCCCCATCCCTTCCAAGTCGCAAAGGTTTTCTGTTTCCTCGTTCCTCCACGTCACCTTCGCACATTATTTTGAATTATATTTGCACGAGGGCGGCTGCAGGCGGACATGGCAGCGCTGGCCCGGCGGTGACAAGGGAAGGCAGCTGCCGTTCCCCACCGCCTCAGAATCACGGAATCAACGAGGCTGGGAAAGACCTCTGAGGTCACCGAGTCCAACCTGTGACTGAACACCACCCCGTCATCTAGACCAGAATGCCACATCCAGCCTTTCTTAAACACCTCTGGAGATGGTGTCCCCACCACCTCCCAAGGCAGCCCATTCCAACGTTTAACCACCCGTTTTTTCTTCCTGATGTCCAAACTGAACCCCCCACCCCTGCACCGCCTGAAGCTGTGTCCTTTATCCTGTTACGCTAGTTGCCAGGGAGATCAGTCCGACCCCACACGGCCGTAACGCCGAGACCGAAACTCCCCATCCCGGCTGCACGGCCGGCGTCCCGCCCCTATTGGCGGGTCCCGCTCACGTGACCGCTCGGTGGGCGGGGCCGCGCCCCCACCCGCTGCCGGCTCGGCGCCTGCCGGGTAGCGCCTCACCCCCACAGCGCGCGCCACGTCCCGCCTCCCGCGCCCGCCGCCGGGCCTGCGATTGGCCGGGGCGGTGCCGAGCCGGCCGCGGATTGGCCGGCGGGGCAGGGTCGCGAGCGGCCGCGCGAGCAGCGGGTGAGGCAGCGCGGCGGCCGCGGCGGCGGGTGAGGCGAGGCAGGGGAGGAGGCGGCGGCGGTGGCCGCCGCGGTTCTCCCCTTCCCCCGGGCAGCCCCTCTTGACGCGGCCGATCCTGGGTGAGGGGCGGTGAGGGGTGGGGGGAAGCTTGCCTGGAACCACGTACAGGCCGCTCGGGGCGGCCCCGCTTTCCCCGGGCAGGGCCGTCCCTTTCTCGGGCCTGTCCCGGGCAGGGCAGGTGCTGGGCAGGGCCGTGGAAGCGCCTCGGGGTGCTGGGCCGAAGCTTTTGTTCCTGCAGAGGAACTGCTGTGATGAGAAGGTGACAGGTCACGGGAAATAATGTAAATACAAAATTATGTGGAATAATATGGAGGAGTTTGAGGGAAGTTTTTTAAGGAGGCTTTAAAATAGACAGTTGGTGTATAAGAGGAAAAATGAGCCCTGAGGGGCATGGTGGTTTTATTTCTGTTTTCTGTAAACTTACACTGCTTGCTTTGTGTACCTTTAGTGATACTGCTGCCGTGCTCAGGTTCTTCTGTAGTGATCATAATTAAATAACTTGCTGAGTGCGTGTTTTCGTTTCGTTCAACGAGCTGTTGAAATTCCAAATATTGAGGGTGAGTAGAGTTTGAATGCTGAAATCAATCGTAGTGCATTGATCTCTGCCTGACAGGGTCAGCAGTACTTCATTAATAATAAAATGCTGTCCTCAAGAGTGCTCTGCAGCTCTTGTGAAGGCAAGATTACAAAAACTAAGTGAATAGGAATTATATGATCTGATCCACACTGGCTTTTACCTAGGTGATAAAAATGAGGCAGCTGAGTTATCTGCCTATCAGGTCTAAAAGTTCTGGTTACTTGTTGTTGAATGTAAATAATATGCTTCGTAGGGGTCACTAGCTAAAATATGATTACTGTTTGTAGGAACTTGACATTATTACACAGAGGGATATCTGGGGGGAAATTATTTTAAATGCTTTTTCAGGCAAACACACCTTTTTGTTTGTAAGACTTACCTGCTGTTGTCTCTCAGAGCTGTAGCAGAAAGAGTGACATTCACAGCAGGTGGTGGGGAGGTCTGTCTGTCTGGCAGGGAAGTGTAGGTGTTTGGTTGTGTCTCTTATCATGTAATACCTTGTGGTCTGTAGGTGTTGAAGGGTTTCACTTACCTCTCAGTGGTATCACACTGCACTGTGCAGGTATAATCATTGCTGAGCAAAGGCTTTTGATTAAACTAGTGCTGAAACATGGTTGCTTTTTTTTTCTCTGACCTTAGTTTGCAAGATAGGATAGCATGAATGAAATCTGATTAATACGGTTATACACGTTCAGGTAAATATGATGCTATGTTTTTAAGGAAGTTTTAGCAACTTCTGTTGCAAGTATGTATGATTTTCAATTCCTGCTTTAAATTTCATACCAGTACTAGCTTAAGATTGTCCCTGTAGTATTAAGAGTGTCCAGGTAGTATCTCTGCCTTTTATCTCTCTCTTCATATCTTTCCAAACAGGTGTTTCTGTTAGTACTGAGGTCCTTCATTATTTGCAGCATTCACACCAAAAAACAGACTTCTGCTTCTGGCTATATGACCTCTGCCAAACGCATATTTACTTATAGCTGGTCTGTGTCAGTTTGGGACAGAGTCTGGTCCTTTATCAGACGATTCTTCCTGCCTATTTAGCTATTGGGATAATCGTGGGTTTGTTTTCGGTTTTTTTTTTTTTTTTTTACTTTATCTTCCTTTATTACTTTTTAAATGTTTCCTCGTGGATGTAATTTTATTAGATGAACTTGGGTCATGTGGCAATTTAAAAGACCGAAGAGATCTGCTTGCCCTAGTTCTTGCTAAAATAAGGAGGAGCCTGGTCTTTTTGTGTTTGATTTGTATATGCTTGGTATTCCTTTGAACCCATGCTTCTTTGAAAATTTTATACTTCTTAATGTTATGCCTTTTCAATTTAGAGACTACACCTTTTATTTTTCAGACTTCAAGCCTTTATTTTTGATTTCTTAAGGCTAATCTGCTCCATCAATCCCATTAAGTCATTCTCTTTTACATTTATATGGATCTTAAGTGAATGAGATAAACCTTCAGTAAAAAAATGTGAATATCATATTTCTTTTAAGGAGCAGTAACTCATGCTCTGAAAGGGACCTGGATAAATATAACATTGCAAAAACTCGTAGAAGAATTTCAGTTTGAAGGCAGTTGCATCTGATTTCTCTTTCTTTTAATCTTTCATGTGTAGGACTCACTAGAAAACCTGGCAAAGGACTTCTGTTCATAATTCCTGGATATTATGCCTTATGTGTACAAACTCCAGAGCTTTTATATTTATTTAATGAACTCCTTGTAATTTATAAGTGGTATTATCTCTCAGCTTTGTAGACTTGATATTTGATGTGAGAGTATTGAGCAGAGCATGCAAAAGTTGTTGGGATAAGTAGAGGCAAACAAGCTGCAGGTGGCTTGGAAATGTAGACCTCCTCATTTCTAAACCAAGGAATTCCTTCATATTTCTGTATCAGTAAGAAAGTTCTTCAGCATTGCTGATTTCTGGGTTCCATTGAAATAAACCCATGAAATTCCAACCCCTTCATGCTTTATGCAGTGAAATGTAATTCTTTATGTTACTGCTCTTTGGACATCTCGGTAATCTTGTCTATGGCTGCTGCTCATCCTTGTAATAATTTTGCTGAGGCAGAGCAGAAGGACCACTTTTTATGGCAACGTTGCTATCACTCAGGGATCTTCATTCTAGTAACTGAGTTATGGAAATTTTTGAGAATTGAACTATTTTTACTGTTGGTAGCACCAAGAAGATAGAGGATAAATACCACAAACATCAATATTTTAAAAGAGGTATTATTCTGTTTACTAAAAGCAATAAATATTTAACTCATGCTTCTGAAAATGGCATGTACACAGAGCATGAGAGAAGAATTTGTTAATGCCTTCATTCTTGCTGTCCAGCAGTTCCTTTTGGAATGAACTCTGTCTGTTCTTGGCACATAAACCAATTATGAAATAGCTGAGTTTTGTGAAGAAAGGTATAGTGCAACATAGTCTGAAAGAAATAAGTATGAAGTTTGCCTGGAGATAGTTCTGTAAACTCATAATCATATAAAAATATCAATCTGATGTACTTAGAAGCATTTTTCTTTTAGATAACAGGTTAGCTGGAGGTTGTTCAAACGTGGTGGTTTTCCTTAGTGCCACAAACTGAGTAAACTAATCCAGGAACTGGGTGGTACTCTGCTCTCTTACAGACTGATTTCAGTCACTTTCTTCTGCAAAAACAGACAGGTCATTGACAAGAGCAAGGCGTTGATGAGCGCAGTCTCAGGTACTTTTAAGTATTTTGGCTACAGCAGGAAATGGTGACTTACAAAGTGAACTATAAATATTCATTTTGCTGGAGTAGTTGTTCGGTTGAATGAATGCTCGTTTGTGTTCAGTCATCAAAGTCTTGGAATCTAGAGTTAATAAAGGGTCACCTTAATATTTTAGGGCAGGATAAGTGTTTTGGACTATTTCCAATGCTTTATGTCATCATGCTCCTTTTATTCCTGGGTTTTTTGAATCCCATTGAACAAGTTTCTGAAATTAATTATCAATATTTCAGAAATTGCTTTGACAAATTTCTGAACTTTGCAAGGTGAAGCTCACTAGGTACTGTTGTCCTGGATGCTTGTAACTTGTCAGCATTGTCTGTAATCTGTGCTAACATCTGTCTGTTTTATCTGCCATTGTCAGGTGAAAACACTGATACATACTGACTATCCACATCACTCACTGCTTCCTTTCTTCTTACATCATGATTATCTCTCTTGCTTCTTACTGCTAATATGTGTAGGACTTTTTTATGCCTGTAATATGGAACCCATTTTGTAGCCTGCCTTTTTAGCTTACTGCTTCATATTTATACTATTCTGTCATCCTCATCTTGTGCTACTTTTTTTCTACATCTGGTTTTGTGCTTTTAATTGGTTATCTTGTCAGTTCTTGTGTAGTTCCTTTACCTGTTTGCCTTTAAGTTTCTTAAATTCATGGAAACGAAATTTCTAGACCTGCTCTGATTTCTTTGGAGGAAGTTCTAACACTCACTTTCCACTTCAGACCAAATTGTCCTTGTTGTTAGACTCGGGCTTCTCATTTGATCAGAAACAAAATCATACATTTTCTTCTCTGCTTGAAAGAAAACATGACTGACTTCTTTTAAATCTATGTGCTGGCTGAGAGACCAGCGTATCAGGATACAGTCATTCCTTTTAGTCCTATCACTTGCCTTTCTCAGCCAGCCCTGTCTTTGCAGTTGCTCAGCAATACTCTACATTTTTCTCTTTTGTTCGAATTTGTCTTGATACAGCTTTCATTTTTCTCCCTTTGATTTCCACACTGCTTGTTGAACAAGTCTGGACTTTGGAATGAGGTGGAGTATATCATGTGTAATCACACCTTTGGAACAAGCTTCCCCTTTCAAAGGAGCATTCCTCTCTCTTTTATGTCACTGCATGCTGCAGTGCCAGATAGGATGCCAAATCCAATGTGGGGCATTGTGTTCTTCCTGTTTTAAGAACACGGCACATGCGGTGAGAGCCAAGATCCATACAGTAGGTTGTGTAAGGGAAGAATAACAGATGCCTAAAGGAATAGTAGATCCGGTAGATGGTAATGCTTCTCTAATAGACTTCTCCAGCATTCCATAAAGAACTCCGTTACTTATTTATGTATTATGAATGAATGTAGCTTGTATTCATGACTGGTAGCTAGCCCATTATTTTTCCCTATTGTTTTTCTTATAACAGTTGCAGTTTTCATTCTAATCTCTTGGTGTAGATTAATAGTTCCTTCCGAGCTTAGTCACAAACAAAAGAAAATCCTGTGATGATGAGAAACTAATATAATTTTTTTTTAAGCCTGTCTAAAAAAAGGTAACTGTAAGATTGTACTGTTTCTGCCAAGTTTCCACAAGAACTATGTTATTACTAAGGAACTGTTAACCGTTGAAAAATATTTAATGGAAACAGTGACGGTTTAATTGTAGGGCTTGTGGGCACTTCCTAACAGCAGAGCTTTTCCATCTCCTGACTTTCAAGCTTCTCAAGTACCAGTTCCTTGCTGCTGCATTGCCTCAGTCATCCCTGTCTGTATTTGAGTGGCTTCAGGAGCATTGTTATTCATACAGCGTGAATACAGTGTTCACAGTGGATCAACAGCGTTGTGTCCAGCTTGATATACAAACTAAACCTGAATCTGTGGCTTCCTTTTCTGGTTTTCCTGGCATACACTTCTCAGTGGTGTCCAGGTTATGGCTGGTGTAGAACACAGTTAAAGTACACTATTTTCACTAGCAGAGCAGTAAAACCATCTTGAGTTAACTGCATGGAAGTGTATGTAAATAGACAAAATTTGCAATCTGTCTAATTTTATAAACTGCTTGAATATTTTCATGTCCTACATCTACAGTATTTTGTGTCATTTTCCTGCATTAGTCATTTTTCCATGTTTCCTTTCTCTCCTTAGTTGTAGGAAAAAGGAAGGAACAACAAAGCTGTCAGAGAATGTGAATCAAGAGAGGTGATCAGCTTTCTGCAGTCTGTTCCTGCATAGAAATGAGTTTTAGATATGGGTATGGCACTTCAATCCTAGTGCTAATCCCCATCTGCAGGCGTTCCATAGGGCTTGATGCTCACTTGGAGTTGTTGAACGCCATCATCTGTCCAAGCTCAAGTGAGCAGTCATTTCCCCAACTTTCTAATCGTTAACTTTACAACAGCTTGGATTTCTTTCCAGTACCTGAAGGGAACTACAGGAGATGTGGAGAGGGACTTTTGCAAGGGCATGTAGTAACAGGACAAGGGGCAATGGCTTTAAGCTGAGAGAGGATAGGTTTGGATTAGATTCATACCACCATGAGGGTCCTGAGGCACAGAAACAGGTTGCCCAGACAAATTGTGGATGCCCCATTTCTGGAGGTTTTCATGGCCAGGCTGGATGGGGCCCTGTGCAGCCTGATCTAGTGTATGGTGTCCCTGCAGATGGCAGGAGGGTTGGAACTGGATGACTTTTAAGCTCCCTTCTAACTCAAACAATTCTATGATTCTATAAAAATGACACTACTAAAAAGTCATTGTTACCTGTATTAAGCAGATGCCTTCTGAATGCCTTTGCTTTGCAGTACAAGGTACTGATGTCATCTGATATGTCTTGTATCTAAAGCTTGCTATTTAGGAATGTAGCAGTTTACTTCTGTACATGTTCCATGTCATGCATCTAAAATTCTTATGTGTCTCATTTCAGAACTACTATGGAACCTTGGCAGCCTTGTAGGTTTGGAAGGCTTAAATCCAAGTTCAGAAAGGCCTTTTCCAGTCCTGATGATTTGCTGGCTCAGGCACTTAATTAGGATGGCTTTTGAACAAATTGGATTGAACATGGAATCAGTAAGTGTTTCAAATTTTCTTTATGTTTTCAGAAAATAAGGTATTTCATGTTTTTTAGTTTGTACTTACCTGCAAGAACACTACAAGTATACTCAATACCGGGATGATTCCACCTTGTTGAAAAGTCATAAGGTTTATCACTTGAACACTGAAATATTGAGTAATAAATCTGTTAAAAGTACTATGCAGTTCCTTCTTGTTCTAATAAACTGTTTGCTTTGTAAACACTGCTTTTCATGCTGGACTTCCACGTGTGTTTTGAAGCTGAAGGAGAATTTCATCTTATTTTTAATAGTGGTAAAAAAGAATCTTATTTCTTTTTCTTACCTTGGAGATAAAAAAGCCCAATGAAACTGAGATTATTATAATTATGTTACATTTACCTCTTCTGTGCTATAGTTACCTCTTCTGGAGGTGTAACAGTACATGAGAGCAATGCAGCTGTGTTCTTTACTGTGTAAACAGAGGAATTGGCCTGCATAGCTGTCCTCTTGGAAGAGACTATATAGAGAGTTTTCTTTGAATGCTTAGCAGAGAGAGACAGAGAGCTGCTACACATCAACTGCTCTGTCACTGGGACCTTTAGGAAGCTATTTTGAGTACAAATGTTTGAGTACAAATGACCTCAGTGCAGTAATCCCTGTAAGTTTTTGAAATATTTTAATGTTTTAAGAATGGAGAAATCCTTAACAGCTGTGGGTAGTATTTAGTCAGTATTATTGTGGTAGAACTTTTTATCAGTCTTGGGAATCTGTGGAGAGCAAATTGTTCTTACAGTGTAAATTAAAATTGACAACAAGAATCTGTATTTTAGGGTTTTGTTTGAATTTTGATCCGAGGACCCATGTAACTTTGAAAATTCAAAGTTCAAGAATGTTGCATTATGGCACGGGTAATTCAGCAATTTCGGCTTAAATAGGGAGAGGAACAAGTTTTTAATCTGTTTCTCCCCATTCTCTGCTTATATCAAGCTTATGACAATGCAGTTAATTTCCAAATGTCAGCTGTTCTGGACAACAGCAAAACACTGATGCAATAGGAGTGTATGATTAAGTGACATTTTGCAGACTTGCTCAGCCAGTGCTTCTACTTCTAGCACAAAAAGTTGTGTGAACTTGGTTAGAGCAATGCTGAGGCCTCAGCTGAGCAGGGAACTGACTTTACTTGCATCCCTTGTAGCACAGTTTGCATGAAGTTTTATGAAAATAACGTCCTGGCATATCTTGTATTCCAAAACTGAGTCATTCAGCATTTTGGTGCACCAAGCTACTGTTGCTGAAGAGCCCCAAGGGCATTTGGAAACCAGATATTTTTGAGTACTAGTCAACAACTTGTCTGTGGTCGGAGCAATATCTAAACAAGTTTTGCTGCTTGTTTAAAATGCATTGCACTTGTGTTGGTAATAGAGCATGTAGTCTAGACTCGCTGTTGTGGAAGCACTTCTGCAACTAATCAAGCCTTCCTTTGACTGGCATTATTTGTTCAAATACCCCATCTCTTTGAGTCTCTTGCCAACAGTTCTGCTTTAATCAGAATCAGTTGTGAATAATGAGACTGTATTACTGTGGTGCTGTTTATTAGTGACTTGTTCTTGAAGGCTATTGATCTACCTGCTGTTTGCTCAGACATGTAAACAAACAGTAAGGTGATAGGCACAAATGTGAGGTCTTTGTTGAGGCAATCAAAATGCAGCATCAATAGACTACTCTGCACTGAAAAATCTGTGTTCAGTTCAGCAGTGTATTAAGCAAGAGAAGGTATTTTTTATAGAATGGAAACAAGATAGATCTGAGTGGATTCATGGCAAAGTTGCAGCTCTGTTGTGAGGATGTAGCATAGCATATGTACAGTACACATTTATTTTGTCAAAGTTTTTACATTCCAGTAAAGCCAGAGGAAGGAAGGATAGAAGTTAGAAATAGGCAAAATATTTGTGTGAAGTCTGTGAAATAATCTGGGGATCAATATTATGCTACATAAATTTTCTTTTTTAATAGAACCTTCAACATCTACAAGTAGGGATTTTTGCATAGTATATCAAAATATTCAGCTGTGTGTTATGCAACTCCCACAGCACCACTACAGTCATCATACAGGCAATATTGCCATTGCCAATTCAGAATAGTCTGGATTTTTCCTGTTTTCTTTGTTGAGCAACTTTCTACCAGGATGTCAAGTTTGCTTGAAGCAGTGATCTTTTCAAAACTAAGGTCTGACTAGTAAATTGATATTTGATTAATTTTAAATAATTAATTTTAATAACACTGACCGACTTTTAAAAATTACCATACAATGTTCTTATTGTTTACTAACAATGTACCCCGTGTTAGTCTTTTCATTATGCTTTTTCTTGTTTGCATTATTTTTGTTGCCTTTGCCTTTGCTGAAATCTTTCCTACTTCTCTCCAGGGTGTTTGCTTCTGTTCTGGCTCATTCTGTAGTATTCTCCTAGGATTCAGCTCCTATTTTATTTCCTTTCATAAGGCTGTTGTAAATACTAAACACAGCGAAAAGAAGCAAATTTAATCCCTGTTGAAACAACATAGAGGAAATGTAAATTGCAGTAGAAACAGTTACAATGAAGCCTGATGTGTTGAGCTGCTATGGGCAGCTTTCTCTAGGTGAATCTATTTTTTGGGGCAGGGGACAAAATTCTTGGCTTACAAAAATTTCATCTTATTTTCTCCTTTTTACTTTCCTTTGCTCTTTAATTTCACAGTTACAGTTTCATATTTATTGTAGCTGATATTTATTTTCATTAAGAATGGTAAACACTATTCCTGTTTTAGAAGAGCTTTTAATTAAAAAAGAAAAAAGGTGTTTTGAGAAATGAATTACGTGACTTTATGGATTTTTAATGATTGAGTGGCTTTTCTTGAAACCCTATAAAAAGAGGTGTCTGACTGAATGTAGGTTCTTTATTGTCTTGAAAATTTGAATATTGTGTTTTGAAGGAGTTGAAAGTCCTGAAGTCTTGTGCATTACCTGATTTATTGTTTTGTCTTTAGACTTAATACAAGGGATGTCTTGGCCTTAAGCAGCCCTACCTATATTGTACTGATAATGTATAATGTGTTTGTGCCAGTTTGGGGATAGAATGTAACGAGTTCACTGGGGCAGAATTCAGTGTATAAACATGATATCCTACTTTAGCATGAAAAGAATTACTAAATAGGTTTAGCAAAAGCATGGTATGGAAGAATAAGGGAGAACTATTACAATATGATACAAAAATCAGCTCCCTTAACAGCTGGCTTCTTTGTTTTTCCCATGCAGGTGCTTTGGTCAAGCAAGCCTTATGGTTCATCTCGAAGTATTGTAAGAAAAATTGGTACTAACCTCTCTCTTATACAATGTCCGAGAGTTCACTTTCAGGTAGGTGTCCTCAGCAGTTCATAATCTGTGTTTCATTGTACTGATAAAGGGATTTACTCCTGACTAGAAGGTTTGTAAAGGTAGAATATCATAAACTATACATAGGAGAATTAGCCTACTTAAGTTCTCTCTGCTTCCAGTAAAGATTTTTTCCAAATAAGAAAGTTGAAAACAATATTCATAAAAGAGAAAAATTATTGAAACTTATTTATCTAAACAGTACTTATAAGCTAGGCCTAAGAGGCATGTAAAGATGAACAGTATTAAAAATACTTGGGAAAATAAACAACTTTATCAGAAATCAAAATATTAGTAACAAGATTACATGAGTACCCTGTTTGCTTTTGTTTAAAATACAAGGCTAGCACTGTGTAGGTGAAAGGGTAGGGTAAAGAGCAAGTGTAAAAGCTTACGGAAGAGAAGACCCATGCTTTCTATAATGAGTCTTTCAGGAACAGATGGGAAAGTGGAAGCTGTTACACATAATCTCTTCAGCTCTGGTGTTAGGGGTAGGGGGTGGGTATAGAATTAGAGAAATATAGCTGGAGAAATTCAAGCTGAGAGAGGAATGTTTCGTGGGCTGAGCAAGGGCGGGTAGTGTAAAGATGAATGAAGGGAATCAGCTGCCACACTAAGATAAAGTAATTTCCACACTGCTAAATTTTTCAGTGTTTAAATTAATTTCATTATCATAAATGAAAAGTATTTAGACTTGAAATTACAGTAGCAAAACCAGATAGTTCAGATTACCATAGAAGCCTTATTAGTGTGAGAGTACAGCCATGCTAACATTTTGCCTCTCTTGAAAAATTACATTGAGAAAACTAGGGGTAGGCATCTTGCATTTCTACTGGCTTGCTGAAAAAAAAAATAAAGGCATGTGGGGTTTTGTGTAGGTGAGGACAACAAGTGGCATGCTGGATTAAACTTTTGAATATATAATTACTAGGTGTTCTGCCAGCAAGAAGGCTCCTCAGATTAAAAAGATAGTGAAGTCCTCCTATGTGTCTGATTTTCTGTACTGTAAAGGCCAGAGAAGGGAAGATGATGCTCATTTGCAGATAGCCTAATACTGACTTCTCTTAATATGGTACATTAAAGAAGATGGTTTTGGTTTGTGTTCTTCTACCATTCTGCAAGGAATGGTAAAATATATCTGGGGAATCTGTTCGTCATTATTTTTAGTGTTTAAGCAGATAAACACATAAATATGTTTTGGTCTGGATTCTGTTAAAATAAATATAATATTTGCCTTTTAGTCCTCTTAAAGAGACATTCATTCAGCTTTGTGCATGCACTAAGTATATGAGATGAAAGGAAAAACTCCTGAAAACAGAAGTACAGTTGTGAGAGTTAATCTAATTAGAAATAGGAATTTTAAAATTTGAGCCTTGAAACACATTAAAATTTATATGGTTTGTGCAGACTCTAAACTATTTTAGTATATGAACTGCTGAACATGTTAAGTGTGTTGCTAACATCTGTTTTTTTATGTCTTTATCTCAGCATTAAGATTCTATAGTGAAGTTCAATAATGGTCTTGATCGTTTTCATGCTGTTGCAACTGGTGCTTTCCTATAGCTGTCTCTTCCTCTTTCTTTCTTGCCAGCTTTAGCTCTATTATGAAAGGACCATGAACTGAACCTTACTGTAAGTCATTCTATTTAAAAACAAAGATCAAATCTTACTTGCATCATCTGAGGGTGCATGTATTTAATCAGTGTTTCTAACCCCAGAGCATCAGGCTTTCCACAGGTCTGCATTTTCCTTATGATAAAGGATGAAACTCATTGAAAGAATCTCTGTAATGTTCATACTTAGCTTCTAGCATGCTTTTGTTCAGCTAGTCTGAAAAACAAATAGTAGCCAAACATTTTGGTGTTTGAGGTCTGCTGGCTCTGTGAATCTTGCCATAGTCAACATTTAAATTAACTGCTGAACACTAAAATGCTGCTTACATATTCAGTAAGAGGTGGCATGTACTCTATATGGCATAAACAAATGAAAACAGTTCATTGAGATCTTTTGTATGTCATATTTTTTAGACTTATATGTAGTCTTTAGGAGAAAATAAAACACCAGTGTAGCCTAGGTAGATTCAACCACACCTACAGTAGTGTCTCTCAAGATGCTATCCTTCAGCTACAGCATCTCTGTTTTAGTCCCATGCTTCTCCCTGTCTGTCTGATGGATACCTGATAACTCAGTAAAGTCTCTTAATAAATTGTGTTGCGTGTAACAAACATCTGAATTTACTGGGTTAATTTGAAAAATCCCAGCAAGTTTGTCTTACTTGAAGTGTTTCCAAATGTTTAACACATAACGGTATTAGTAATTTGAAACGAGGTTTTGATTCTGTCCTCAAGTGTATAAAAATATCTGTTGTGCTTTGCACTTTGTGGAGCAAACAGAAGAGCAGGGAGCCTGCCCTGCCGCACTGCCAAGCGGCGTTTCCGTAGTGTAGTGGTTATCACGTTCGCCTAACACGCGAAAGGTCCCCGGTTCGAAACCGGGCGGAAACACTGGCCAGGCTGACTCTTTTCTTTGGGAGGTGGACACGGTGATTCCTTACGTGTCCCTTCCAACCTGAGGTGCCAGAACAGGAACTGTTGTGTAGTCATCAGAAATCCATGGTGGGTCTGCAGCCCTCAGGTGTGTCTGAGTGTGCAGCTTACATGCACATTAAGGTAGGCAAAAAGCCTGTGAAGGAAGAAGGGGAAGCAACCACACAGTTTCCAGAGGAAAAAAAGCAGGCTACAGCACTGATTCGTTCAGTTCCTGCCATCTAGTAGAACTGGGCCTCTGTTTTCGGTACTCTCTTCTCCATTTTAGGTGCTGACAGAGCAGTTGTTCAGGTTTTTTTCTGCTGGGACTTATTGGAGGAATAGGGTAGTCACAGAGGTGTTCACAGGCAGGTGAAGGTTTTGAGAGAGGAGTATTGGCTTTTCACCTTTAAATTAAAGTAAAAATCTTGCATTAACTTGGAATTCAAATTCCACTGAGGAAGGAAGGCTTTGTTGTTTTTAGGAATGGAGAAAAGAAACATCTGTATATGGGATAACAAGCAGATTCTGTTTACATATAAATACGAATTAAAATTAAGGAGAAACTTGTATCATAATATAACAGAAGGCTTACTAATAAATCTTGGATTAGAAGTTATTTATCTCATGATGCAGGAATTCTGGCAGTAGTAAATATATTCCTTACTGTTGATTTAGAAAATTATTTTTGATTCAAGTATGTGTGGTGCCTTTATTTAAAAGTGGCTTCAATCTTTTAATGGTAGTATTACTGCTAGAAAAATCTGTATCACCTGCAAGAAGTGGCTAATGTATTATGGATTTTTAAAATTACCATTAACATTAATACAAACGCTGTGGTCCTGAAAATTTCTATTCATTTTTAAAAAGAAAAATGCCAAGGAAACCTCAAACAGCAAAAATCCTAACATGCAATATAGTATTCTCTAGACTGCTTTAAAGAGAGGCAGACTGTAATGGTATTAGGCACAACTGTTAATGTGATAAACATATTACCATCTGTGCTGATGCTACCTGGAAAAAACCCTGTTGTTTCCAAATGATCTGATGGTGCCAATACACACTCCTGGGAGCTGTGATAAAGACTCTCATACTAGTGAGAGTGTGAGGTGAAGGCAACTAATCTCAATTTCTAAGGCTGTTTTCAACAACTCCCGGGGAAAAAAAGAGCCCCAAGCCCACAACTTCTCTCTTCCTGAGACTTCTGTATCAGAGACTACTACTAAAATATGTGTGGATGTTCTGGAATGGTTTCACCTCATCCAGGCTGCAGTCCCACTGTGATAGGTCAGCTACAAATTCAGGTTAATGCTAACACTTCATAGTGTTTTTTTCTTAAAGAGTGAGGTTGCCTTGAAAAGTGACCTAAGTGCTAATGGGCTGGATGCAGACTGTCCTCACAGACTGGCACCCACTGCCACCATCTTTGTCAGTATTCCCAGCTTCTTGGCCACTGCTGGCCACAGGCAGCACCTGAGCAGCTGCAACAACTCATGCAAATTTGGCTGTGGGTTTGTCTGTAGTGTTGGGTTAACAGCTGGACTCAATGATCTTAGAGGGCTTTCCCCACCTTGACTATTCTGTGATTCTGTGGAATACAAGCAAAATCTGGGGCGTTTATGCATTGGAGATACGGAACTCAAGGTGAAAGGCTGAGCAGAACAAATTACTGAAAGTTGTTTCAGTAGCTTTTATCAGCTGAGATACTGAACCCAAGCTGCTCAGGAGTCCAATGACTCTGAACACATGCCCTCATCTGACTTGGGGAAGCAGCCAGTATTTCAAAATAGATCTGAAACCATTTTGTTGAATTGGAATTATGGAGCAAGTATTGATGGTCCAAACAATTTTTCAAATCACCGTTTTCAAATCGCTTAACTGGAAATTGAAGAAAGGTTCCAGTCTCTTAAGCCTTGCTCACCTTTGGCTTCAAACAGCTGTAAAGCTAATGGCCAGAATCGTGCTGGAAAATGGTCCATTTGTTTGGCATGTTGTAAAATAAGATTGTTAGCACGTAATGTATAATGTTATGATTGCATCCTACCTCTCACTCAAAGTCTTTGTGATTACTGAGCTGGTAGAATTGGCTTTCTGCCTGGGGTTGCTTGCTTGTTTGCTTTTTCCCCTGTGCAATGTACATACTTGTACAGAAATTCGGAAGTTGTAGGGAAAGGGAAACTTTGGCAGAATTTCACTTTAAAAATAATACTAAGTCAGAGCAAAGTACTTAAGAAGTACTGGCGGCCTTAATGTCTTTTTTAACTACTGGTCATGAATATAATTTAAAAACGTACTATTTGAATTAATGTAGAAAACTGTGTGAGAATGTTGATGTTTGCTTGTCTTAAAAGTAACAATTTGCATTGGACTTTTAGTGTTCATTAGCATCATGTGATGGTGTATGTGGTTAGCCATGAACTTCTGCAAAGTGTTCAGCAGAATGGATTGAACAGTTTGAAGTCAGTGAAATGGTTCTGGACTGAGCACAGGACAGAAATAAGTGTTTCAAGTCTACGGATGGGTTTTGTGCATGTATCTGTTAATAGTTACATGTAGCCTCAGTAGAAGTATTGGGTAATATAAATGTGGCTTGGGCTGAGAGTATTGACTCCAAAACCTTCAATCTTGCCTTCAAAATTTAGCTTATTTCTCGTGTCACGGAAGGAAACAGTCCTGCTCAGCTCAGAGAAGATGCAGTGGCCACCTTTGCTGATGTGGGGTGGATTGCTGAAGAAGAAGGTGAAGTCTCTACAAGGCTCAGGTATGTTTCTGAAATCTCTCTGAATTTCTGAGCTGAGAGGAAGAAACCTCACTTCTCTCCAGTGAGAATCTACTGTGCATTACAATTAACAGAGAGCACTTGAATGCTGGGAGACAGAGGTAGGGTCTGGAAAAGAAGTAGTAGAGGTTAGACTAACAGGATTATGAAACCAAGACTCGTTGGAAAACATAGAGGAGATGGGTATTACACAAGGAAAACTGGATTTTATTTATTTATGTACTGCAAAGAACTACACACAATAGTTTCAAGCAACGAAAGTGTCTGCTGTGCTATGGCACAATTGCTAACGGTGATTCTCCAGTTCTCCTGAGATTGTCATTACCATGGGGCAGTGAACTGTACAGCTTCCTCATTAGCAGCAGTGGTAATTCTGGCAATCCAGTAAAATTGGCATGTTGTTTTTCACCTTTCTGGTTAAGGCTCCACAGTCTGTTAAGTACAGTGAAAAAATTGTGGTTTGTGTTTCACATCTTTAATCTTCATAACAAAAACTGGCAGGGAAGCATGTGAGCACCTGTGTCCAGAATGATGGGACTGTTGTGTTGGACCAAGGGTTCTACACAGCACTGTCACTACGTGAAACAGTTTGCAGAAGGGATGAAGTTCTCTATTCCATCCTACTCAGGTTGCTGCTCAGACTATCCAGAAACAAAAGTACAGTTCTGTAGTGCAGAGGAGGTTTTTCTTCTAAACAAACTAATCGGTCAGAGAAGGGCACAGATTGTTGGCTTCAGATATTACAGAAGGATACTGTTCTTCATTTGAAAGCATAAAATAGGTTAGTAATGACCTAGATGCCCTCCAATATGCCTTGCTACAATGAAGCTTTGCATAACAAACATTCTGGCGCCGCTACATTAATTTCACAAACTCAGAGGGGAGTCACAGAATCAGCACTTGCTTGGGAAACAGTATTCCTGAAGTCTGTTTAATACAAGGAAATTAAACATCCGATACTACTTTTGTTTGCAAAAGAAGTATTTTGTTTAAGGATCGAGCTGTAAAGCTATTACATTTAATGGAGACAACAGGGAGAATGGCTCTTTGGTGCTTCAAAGAACCTATTATGAAAGATGTAGGACTGCATATTTGCTGAAACGTCTGCATTTCAGCAGGGGAAGAGGGGAGCAGGGACAGATGGATGTGGGATGGAACTAAAATAATCCTGCAGATACATAGTGACCTTAAGGCAAACAGCTTATGATGGAGCATGGGAAGTGAATTACTTAGCAAATATGAGTATTTCAGTGTGCACTGTTTATTATGTCTGTGCACAGTATTGGTAGTGGAGCTGGTATCCATTAGGTGTTTTCCAGGCATTTGAAATTCTCTGTTTCGACAGGATCACATAGGTGTTACTGTTAAATATTTATCCACTGTAAAATTTAGTAAACAGTCTTGCAGACATCGGTTTTTTTCTGTGAATACAGTTTTATAGAGGAAGCAACGAAATGACAAGTCATTTTTTCTCTACCCCTAGTCAGAGCAGTAGTGACAACTTGGACATAATATTTTTCCACAGTGTTAGATTCCAGTCAAGACATCTCCTTAAAACTCTATTACTGCTCTGAGCAGAAAATACCCTTTGTTATTTAGCTAGTCTGCTCCTTTAAAGAGTTTCTGGAAGGCAGTTTTAAGGACTGAAGTGACCACTGGCTCCTTCCACCTTACTTAAGGCAGCAAGGAGGTGGTTGCCATAGGAGGTATCCTGTTCTCATCTTTAGTTGCTCTCTATTCCTGTCTAGATAACAGCACCTAAATTTCATCATCCATGATAGTATTCAATTCTCCTTGATCAAATTTCTGCAAGTTGTGCTGACGGTTTTTGTCAGTGTCATAGAAGACTTAAATGTGTATCTAATCCTGATTTGATGTGATCAGAGCACAGGGCTTGTTCTAGCCTTAAATCTTGGCTCTTGCTTTAGGTCTAGCACAGCTGCAGATCTAACATGGTGAGCACCCACAGTAGCCTAATCCACATATCCAGAGTGATGGGGCACTTGGGCTGAGTTAGTCTGGAGCCGTTCTACCCATTTCAAAAAGTCCTTTTCCCAGGCCCTGTTCTCACTCTCGTGTTTGAATAAACAGTGGAATCCTGGCATGCCTGGGAAGTTTGGGGATTGACATATAGGAGGATTGAGGAGTTAAGTACGTGGCCATATTTTGTGTTTTAAAGTTTATGGTCATCTGTTGTTATCAGTTCTTATCAATTCTACTTACATCATAGAACAGCTTGCATTGGAAGGGACCTTTAAAAGCCATCCAGTCCGAGCCTCCTGCAATGAGCAGGGACATCTTTAACTTGATCCTCGGATTCTAAGGGTCTTCAGATTCTTGAGATAAACGACTTTAAAATGCTGGTGTCTTTGTAAGGGCTTATTGGACTTGTTTGAGCAGATGCTCAATTATTCCTTAGTGTTTAATATGGCTTGAGCTTTGGGTGGGTATTAAGGGAAGGCAACAGAGTTGCATTTTCTTGTGAGAAGTGGAGGGAAGGTCAGGAATTCTTTAAAACTGTCTAAAATTTCCTTCTCTGTAGTTCTAATTATTGTGTTAGAAAACTAGATATGAGACGCTTTTCTATCAACTGAGAATCAGTCTCTGCATCACTAAGCTGTTTTCATGTACTCCATATTTCCCAATGCTGCTAAAATTGGGGATTGTCCTTTAAGTAATCCAAACAGTACCTAAAACAATCCTGTGGAACTAAGAAACTTTTTCAGAGGAATCAACTGCAAATAGCTATTTGCTTCCCACGGGGAAAAGTGGTAGCATTTAAGGGAAGAAAAATTAAGTCTTAATTCAAATAAAGTATAAAATAGGTTTGAGGCAGAAAAATAGTTTGGGATAAGGGAAAATGTATTCCTTTTTTTTTTTGCTGAAATCAAGGATTCTACAGAACGCTGTCTGGGGGAAGAGAAGAAACAGAGCTCATGGTGCAAACAGAAAGGATGTGAAGCTCTTATTTAATTTAAACTATTTAAGGTCTTGATGGAAGTTATTTCTATAAAGACAATTTTGAGGTCAGGTCTTCAACTCATACCACTGATCTGCATGTAACATTGGTTTAGTTTTTGTCTATTTCAAAGCCTTCAAAATATGTTGTGATATTTTTGTCACAGGTCAGAAGTTTGGTCAAAAACAACCCAGCCTCTTCCAGGCGAAGCCCATCATTTCAGGAAGTCTCCACACGGACAAACGTCCTTGCAAAGCCCGTCAGGAGAGGAACTAGTGCCCAGGAGTGCAGTGATGGCAAATGAAGAAGCACTGCAGAAGATCAGTGCCCTAGAAAATGAACTGGCCTCCTTAAGAGCACAGATAGCCAAAATTGTAACCTTGCAAGAACAGCAGAACTTGACAACAGGTATTAAATTTGCTGAACTCTGAGCAAAAATGACTTAATGAATGTGTCCCTTTTATAACTAATACTATGCTAATTCTTTTTTGTGAGATACTGCAACACCAAGCACTTCTCCATATTGTTTTGGTTAGCTTGGCACAATAACCAAGGGGTACAGAATAGGTCTTGAAGACAAGAGACTTGCCAGATTCTCTGTATTTTTTAATATTCCTAAAGTCTTCATGTTTTTCTGTAAATCTGCCAGAGTTCTGAATCTGTGAATGAGTAAAGAAGTATTAAACAGCTTTCAGAGCAAAGCTCATGATAAACATGATGGCTTAAACCAAACTAAAAGAATGTAACTTAATTACTGACACTGAAGTCTTTCCATTCAGTAAGGAAATAGGCTCTCTGATATCATTAAGTATTCATACAAGATGCTAATTATGCTTTTGGAATATGTAATATACATCTCAAGTAACAGAAAAGGCAATTAATTGTTTACTGCAATCATCTCTGGGACCAGACACATTGTCCATATGGAAGCAAAAGTAGTGCACCGTTTCTGATAGTAAACAGAATAATTCTTTTCCTGAATTTCTTTCTCCTCTTTCCATCACTTCTGACTCCTTTCAGTTTTAAATCTTCAAAGATTAGCAGGAGATGGCCCTTGTCGGCTGCAGATGACAGGCATTTGGTTGTCACTCTTTCCTAAGGTCACTTAGCAAGTACAGCTTTGCCTGTGTTTGTGTATAAAATCATATTCTGATGTTTCAGATGCTCCTTTAGCTGTTAACTGATTAACTGTTAACTGTTTTCCTGAACTGCTCGTATTCAGAATTATGGAATAGTTTTAAGGATCACCTGGTTTCACTCTTGAATTTTAATTATGGGGGGGAGGGTGGGGCCATGTAAAATAACTGTAAACTTGTTTTTAATTTTTCCCTTTACCTCTATTTATTAGGGAAACTAAATTTTTATTTTATCATCTTTATCTCCCTCTTCTGGTAGAACGTGGTAATGACGCTGTGTGTTTGCCTACAGGTACACGGAGTAGACTCTTCTGTTTTATTTCTATAAACAGTTTTTACTCCAAGCCTCAAAAGTCTGATTTGATCTGATTTTTCTCATTCTTAAAGGTGCGATTAAACAGAGGTTTCTTCATTTATTTGTCAGGTTATTACTGATACTGTAATTATAATAAACACCAATTTTTACCTAAAGTATACATGGAACTCAAAATCAAGATTATTGTGAGAATCCCTATGAGTAGAGACAGATGAGTAGCTGGCCTAAAAGTCCTCAACCTCGGACAGCGGGAATAAACTTCAATTTAAGCGCTGTTTGAGGTCTGAAATTTGCATCTTAAAATCTTGTATGGTCATTTCTTACTTGTGATGGTAAGTAGGAAGAAACACTGCTCCTGTGGCAGATGGTGACTTCCAGCTCAGTAGCTGCCCCTGAGAAGAAAGGGAAATACTGGTAACATTAGGGGCAGAACGTAACTAAAAGATACCATGGCATCTGTCCCACTGCAGTATAGACACAAATGCACCTCGTAGGACTGGAATTTCAAAGGATGCTTCTAACTTTTCCATAAGGATTTTCATGTGGCTTTTTGGCTGAGTCTGCTTAGGTGGTTTAGGAATGAAGAAGTTACATGACAATATAAAGGTGACAGAAGGGACACAATTCAAGTTACTACAGTGATTTTCTCACCTGAGCATTTGTGACACGTGGAGGGGAGTTACAAGTGAACTGACTGGCAATGCATGTTTTATTTGTAGTTGGGCCAAGTCCACTTGCTTCAGCTGCTGCCCCTGTTCCACCACCACCACCTCCTCCTCTGCCTCCACCCCCTCCCTCAGGTCTGGATCAGAGAAAGTCTGCAGTTGATCTCATTAAAGAAAGGAAAAACAAAAAAATGAACGCTGGCCAGAATGTGGTGGAAAATGGGCCAAAGAAGCCTGAAGTACCAAACATGCTAGAAATCCTCAAAGACATGAACAGCGTGAAACTACGCTCAGTGAAAAGGTAATAAATGTCAATGTACCAAGATTGGCATTAATGATTTAATGACTCAAAACTGTTTCAGGGTGAGACACATGCTGATGCCATTTTCTTTTCTAGATCCTCAGAAAGTACAAAATCTAAAGTGTCTCAGCCTGCAGATCCTGCAACATTAATAGCAGAAGCTCTCAAAAAGAAATTTGCATATCGATACCAAAATGATAGCCAAGGTGAAACAGAAAAAGTGATTCCGAAGTCTGAAACAAAGACACAGACTGAGGTAGTGCTGGTGAGTATTGTGGTTCTGAACACATCTGTGGACTGAATTATAATTGTGCAAATCAACCTACATCTTTCTGCTAACGTATGTAGATGTTACTTACACAAGTTAGCATCATTTTTTAGGTCCACAAAACCCTGTGAAGTACTGCTGATATGCCAGGGCTTTTGGCAATCATGTTCTTAGTGGCAAGTCTTAGGATTGTGTTCTGTCTAGGCCCTAGCTTTAAAAAGTCCTGTTACACTTTTGTTATTTTTTTAAAACAAAAATGTTTTCTCTTGCCACAAGCATCTGATATTCAGAAAACCATTGCTAAGGGCTCACATTGAATCCAGTCTGAACTGAGTTTGCCTGTAGCTACCAACCTTAACCATTCTGCTGCTGAAGGTGAAACTTTGAAGCAAGATCCTGAAACACATCAGACATTCTTAGGAGTCTGGAAAATAAATTGTTCAAAATGCCTGCTGGATCTTGGTTCTTTGGTATAGGGAGTTTCGTCTAATAATTGGAAATGCTGAGGATATGAAAGCAGTTTCTTTATAGTGTGAGAATGTTAAAATGAAGTTGTATTTAAAATCCACTTCCTGGCACAAGTTATTAGTGGCTTTTAGTTTATTTCACATGGATTTGAATTTGGTTTTTAAGCAGTGAACATTGAAAATACAAGTCTCTATCAATGTACACTTAAAAACCAGCCTGGTAGAGATCAGTTCTGTTTGTCAGCAATCCTTGAAACCTTGTGCTATGGAACCAGAGAGGAAGAGTAAAGAGGGTTTTTTTTTTTTCATTTGTGCAATTGAAAAAATGCACGTAACAGTCCAAAATCTGGCTCTGCTCTGAACTAAGTTTTAAGGAAAATAACATTTCCATGCCACAAATCTCAGGACTTTTGAGTACTTCAACTAATTAATGTTGGCTTACTTGCCTTTTGGCCTCTAATGGTATATTTCTGTAATGTTCAACTCAATCTCAACTAAAAGGCTAGATGTTTCCCAAGAATTAAACACATTTCCTCAGCATCCCTGGTGCATTAAGGAAAAGAACAGGAGTTGGCAAATTTATTCACACAGGGTTTTTTCATGACTTTCCAGTTTTGAAATTTACAGTTCACCTTTTCAGGTAAAGAATCATCAAGTCCTCAAGAGCTAAGAAAATTGAAGGTTTTGATTAAATGATAGAATGTTGATCCATAATGAGCTAATAAAATCTGTCCATCAGTTACTTAACCGTATCTAACTTTGTTAGCTCAGACTTGCATGACAGTTTTGAAAAGGACTTGCACAGAAATGCAGGGTAGAGTAAAAGCAGAAGCACTGTTAAACTGCTGCAGGAGCAGTTGGTTGCCAAGGTGTAATGATAACTGAGTCTATCTCCTTATTGTACTGTGGTAGAGCCAACTGCCTCCAGCCTTGCTCTAGCAGGTCGTTGGCTCCCTCCTCTGAGCACTTTTAGCTGTTGCTAACACAAGTTTTCTTTGTGACATCCACATGCAGAGAAACGGTGATAAAGGAAATTATTTCTGCCCAAGTTTTGCTTTTACTACTTGGATAGATAGTAGTTCAGTAAGGGTTCTGTTGAAAGCAATCTGAACATATTTCTGGTTTTCTTTCCAGTTTGGACCACACATGCTGAAGTCTACAGGAAAAATGAAGACTTTAATTGAAAAATCTTAGTGTTAAAGATTATTCTGCAAAAGACTGTTAAGCTGCTTTGTATAAAATATTTTATGTTGCAAATAGCACTAGTACTGAGAGGTCTCTTTTCTTACAGCACAGAAAGACCTAATGTGAAATACAGAAATGAGACACTAAACATGTTTGTATGTATGTGATTTATCAAAGGGAATAAATTGGACCGTTATACTCAGGTATTAATTTTGTATTCAAGCTTGGCTTTCCACTCAGATTTATGTGATGGGTTTGGTTTATTAACACTAAGTTATATATACAACATTTTTTGTGCATAACTGACCAGCTTAAAGATTTGTGTACATGTTATTAATGACAGTGATACACCCTTAAGTTAATACCAGTTTTATGTGAGGTCTACCTATAATTTGCACTAAAATGTGTAATTTGATACTGAGATCTTCATGTTGAAGTCTTTCTTTTAAACTTAACTGTAGCAAATTTTTAGCCCAAAGAAAACCTGGAGGCACTCTGCTTCTTACTGAAACAAAGTGAAAACTTGAACCTGATGCAGAGGTCACCTAAATTTTACATAGTAGTACGTTTTTGTGCGGGGTTTTTGTTTGTTTCACATGAGCTTGCAAGGGTAGGAGAATAAAACCTGCTTGTATCATCCTGTGGCCATTATGAACAGTAAAATCATGCTCTGGGAGCCTCTGTCAAAAGGTAGTCAAGGGAATTTCAAATAGGCAGTAGATAGCAGCAGATTAAAATAATAAAGAGTATGTGTTAATGTCAGTTAATTAGCATAAAGTGCTGTAGGTAAGAAAACAAAGGTACAAAGTACTGTGGGGTGCAAGTTGCCAAAAGCAGCTCATCTCTGCTGCTCTCGGAGATGCTCATGGACACCTCCCCAGCCTGGCTCCCTGGGTCTGTTTCTGGCAGATAGGGCTTGCAGTAGCCATTTGCAGGGAAGAGATAGGATAAGCTGTTGCCCATAACCCATAACCAGAGCTCATGTCTTCAGCCACAGGTGTAGAAAGGCTCAAGCTGAAAGTACAAGTCAGGGTGAAAAAAGCTGTTCAGGAGCCAAGAGCTGCAGCTTAGGTACACTCTGAAACAAAGCCATGGTTTGCTCTGACCATGGATGAGCATTGAAAAAGCTGAGTCCTGAGTATTTTTGGTGCTCTAAGCTGATCCTGACTACTGGGACAAGTACAAGTGCCTGTGGGAGCTTCTGTTTCCTAGGAAAAGACACAGACAGCACTTCTTTAATAAAGACAGCTGAATAGCTCTGACAAGGTTACTGAAGATAGGGAAGCTTTGCTGCTTATAACTGGAATGTTGGTTGTACATGGAGGAGCTGTGATTTCTGGTGTGGAACTTGAAATGGTATTAATACATACACAATGTAACTTCCTTCCAAAGTGCTCTGCCATCAGTCCTACTGATTGGTCATTCAATCCTTCAGTTCTTCTAAGTGCCTTTAAAACACCTTTGTGAAAGTTAACTTTGGTTTTAAGTTTTGTATTTTATGCTCTATTGCTACTATATAAAATTAAAAGCAGATAAAATAAACATGGCATATTTGATTTGTGGTACTCTACAAATGATAGCCACGATAATGTCAGTTCCTATTCTGTTACAGTGACTATAAATCAGTGTGGTGACAACCTCCTCGCATGTCCTCCAGGGCTGGTTTGCTTACCTTGCTGTGCAGCAGGAGTAACAGCAGGGTTGGCTGTAAAACAGCCCTGCACTGTGAATTCAGGTGCATGCTGGTTAAACAAACAAAAAAAAAGGGTTCTCAAGAACCAGTGAGGAGTTTATGCCTCACCACAATGAAAGCAGGAAGGGACTTGTTTAACAGCCCCTCCATCTCCTGGTACATTCAGTTCCTCTGGCAGTCCAATTAAATCACTGACTTGTAAAATTCAGGATGGCACTTGACCTATTAAACCAGGCTAAAGCATGAGAATCACCCACACCAGACACTCCCCATCTGAACTGGGGTATCCAGCACTAGAAATTAGGTGAGCTTTAGGTGATGTAAAATTACTGCAAGAAAAATGTCATCTGTGCAAGAAAATAAAATCACAAAGTTGCCATCAAATAACTTATATTGTATATTAATTTGTATCTTTTTACAGATGCACTGCCCACCAAAAAACACCTCAAGTGCTCAAACTAAGGTCACCCATGGACATAACCAGAGGCCCCTTTGTGTCTGTCTGCCCAGAACAGTGCTGGGAGCAGATCTGTGAATGGAACAGCTGTGGGGGCCTGGCCCCCTTCCCCAGCAGGATTCTGGGCTCCAGAGGCTGGTGGTGGCCGTGGGCACCAGGTCCTGTGCCTAGCATGTGTGGGCTATCGGCTCTCACATGAAATGCTGAAGCTGCAGGAACATTAAAGTTTGGTGTGCATTTGTAGAAAGGCATTTCAGCCAGCCCGGAAAAGGCATTTTTTCTTTTTTTAATTCAAGCCCAATGGCAGATGCTTCCACATGCATGAGGAGATGGAATTAGAACCAGTCTTTCTTAATCCAGCCTGGTTGGAAAAGACAGAGACCACTTTCCAGGAAGGGTGGCTTAGAACAAAGCTACTTCTATTTTACACTTTGATAATCTCTTCTGGGTCCTGTCAGAGCAAAGGACAGCAAGTTTGCACAATGTTAAAAATCACATGCTCTTTATAAATACTATATTGAAATATTCTATATACCTATTTTAAAAAGTATTCATCTTAATTTTCATTAAAATTATGTATTAACATATGCCTGTAACAAGTAGCAAAACTTAAAATGCAGTTGATGCTCTTTAAGCAAAGTTTCATTTTTTACAAATGTGTCACAGAAGGCCTTATCAGATACTGATTTCAGTGGTCATTTTGAAAATAGCTGCAGGCTTGGCCTATGTTTCGTTCAAAAAGGTCCAACAGCACTTTTCCACATTTAACTCAGATAAGTGTTGCTCTGTAGCAAGTTTCTCTGTTTTTCTGTAGTAAGTTACACACAGCTGTTACTTCTGTGTTCTCCCAGCTTTAAACACCATTTCAAAGGCAACCTGTTAAAAAATGGCTCTTCTCTCCTGAAAATTACAACCAGAGCTCATTGTCCCATTCATTTTGCGCTGTTGGAGTCAACATCAAGAACTTGCGCTGACAGTGAAGGAAGGAAGTTCACGCAGGCTCAAAAGAATGGTTTCATTAGAAATTTATTTCTTTAAACATGGCCACTTTGAGATTAATGATATTACTTCAGGGAACATGAAAGAATAATAAACAGATTTAGAAGGGAAACAATCAGGTAAGTCAGGATTTGCTTTTCAAACAGTAAAAGGCCAAGCTCCAAGAGGCAATAAATTTTGGCATATGAGGACTAGTATTTTCAAATCCAAAAGTTGGCTTAGTTTTACAGTGGAAGCTGACTGCAACCTTAGCTACCTTTCCACAACGCTGGACTCAGTCATAACTTAAATGTACAGGAGCATAATGTGAAAAGATTTTGTTTTATTAATTAAAAGTTAACAGCAACAGGCACATATTAAAATGAATATGGCAAAGCCTTTACAAATGGCTTTACGCTGAAGCTCTCTTCCAAAAATGGCTGTTGCAACAAACTGTAAACAGAATAATAAACAGTCTTTTACAATAATAACAGGGAAATACAAATGAACTAAAAGAAAGCACCAGTTTCTCAAACTAGATTACAGTTGTGCTTACTGTACTTAAAACAATGTAAAACAAATTACAAAAATGGAATGTTTTAAGTTTAAAATTAGTCCTTTAATTTTGTCCTAAAAAACATTTTCTCCTTTTCCCATCAAAAACCCATCAGTGGGTAATGTTTCAGTAGAGGGAGGAATACGTAAACAATGCACTTTTTTTTTAAATTTTTTTCAAATCAAAAACAAATTTGGTCACTTAGCTTTGTGCATAGTTTAAGGCATCTGTAGCAATTTGTTACAGTTTCCTCCCCAATGTGGCTGTTCATGAAATTGTCACATTCTAAAAGAATAAATAAAAAAAAAAAAAAGAAAAAGGAAAAATGTTGCCGTTCAAACCCTTCCCCGAGCCCTCCCGCCCTCCCCAGTCCCAAACGTACTCACACACCCACACATACACACACGCTGCAGCGAAAGGGGCATTTGTACCCTTGTTCTGAAGGACACGCTTCCCATCCCACATTATTTCAGATTGGCAAATACCCTGAGCTGATTATGGTGTTAGACATTCCACCTTTTTCTTGCATGTGCAGTTCAAGTGTACAATAGTGAGAACAACATGCGATGTTCCCACTGCAGAATCGCAATGCAGTTCGGACGCTTCCCCCCCCACCCCTTCCCTTCCCAGATTCAGAAGTGTTTTTTCGCCGTTAAAAAATTGCATTCCCATATAGCACTGGAGTAAAGCTTGGCTGTGCTCTATGATGAATGCTCAGTTCCCAGTGCACAAACAAAATTATGGCAAATGGGAGGCTTTTCTGGCATCCAAAGAAACAAGAGCTGCAGTCTCAGATTTGATCTTTTTCTTTTAAAAAAGCAAAAAACCCAAGTTAGTGGTTCCTTCACAGCCATGCGCAAAGGTTAAGTCTAGAACCAATAGTTTCAGAGTACATTTGTAAACATCAAGTCTTGCCAGAGGCAGCAGAGGATGGGCACTTCACATTTCCGTATTAAAAGAGGGACTGAATGGAAGGTATGCTTTGAACACATTTATGCAAGTCTTGCTAAATTGCAAGGGAGTGGAACAACCCATGTCAAGTCTTAGATTTGAAGACCGTATTCCAAATATCATGAGAAAACCCAAGCCATGGGGCACAATGAAGCTTTTGTCCAGTTGCTCCAAGGCTCAGTCACTGCTGTGCTTTGCATATTCGAGGTTCCGAACGACAACCAACTGAGGCGGGTGCATATTGCTCTTATGTTCAGATCTGGTGGCTTAAAAAAATTCTGGGTCAAATGGTCTGTGTCAAAGGAAAACTTGGAAATAAATAATGCTGGCATCATTTTACTGTTTTACCAAAACCTTGGGCTGGCATGTGTCTCCTTTAATCCAACCGTGCAGATACTGAGGGAAGAGGCAGTTTTGTCATGGAGATTGAGGTCAGGACAATCGAGGTTCCTGAGGTAAAATGTCTGAGTCCATTTCCTCAAAAGTGGGATCAACATCGTCACCACTGCCCAACTGTTCCCTCTGCACTCCCTTCCAGCTCGCCTTGTTCAGTCCCAGGTGGCCAAGCATTGTCTGTGACAGCCTCGTGTTGGAAAACCGGGCCCATTCCCCAAACAGTGGTTCCACTAAATAAGTCATAAAACCTTCAAAAACAAGCAAACAGAGGCAGATGAAATAAAAAAAAAATACAGATAAAAATTAAAATACTCAAACCAAATATTTTAAATAGCATTTAGTAGCAAATTAATAAACGTGCTAAACTACTCTTCTCCAACGTGCCATTTAAACATTCATTTAGATATTTCAGGCATCTTTACAAAAAAATCTCTCAAAATGTAAAAGATTTTACTAATCAGTCAGAAGAACAGCAATACACTGCATTACAAATTAACCTTTTTTCTTTCACAGCCATGATCAAATGGAAACAAATACTGGACAATATGGAGAAGGGAGAGAAATCTAAACATCAGCAATTAGGTCATACGATTTAGAAAACCTAAATTTCTGAAAGACTTTATAATTGATTGCTCCACAGAGGGTCTGAATTATACTACAGAGGGGGAAAAATAATATATTTTTTCACAATATTAGGGTGACTAAAAATACTTTAAAATACAAATTTTAGAAATTTAACAAGGCCACAAAATAACACAGTGATGTACTTGGTGTGTATGCACATGTTCATTTATTTGTAATGTCTATTTCCATGAAACAAAAAATACAGTGGTAAGATAGCCAAAATTGAGCTTTTTAATTAAAAAATATTACTTCCTGGCATTCTACATTTTAACAGTGCAGCTGATTGACACAAAAGCTGATGTGTTGAGTCTGAAGCATTAATTCATACGGTGCTTGTTGTTAAATTTGTTCTTTTCTTTTCCTATGTTTTTAACTGAGTCCCACTTCACCTCCATATTCAACTTTGATTAAAATTAACTATAAAAAGACATTTTACTATTTAAATCCAAGTCAGGTTAGCAAAAACTATTAATATAATGGCTATCCACCATTCTTCATCACATCTCTGCCCATCACCCTCATTAAAGGCTGCATTTAAAGGGAATGCTGACATTCCAAAAAGCTAAACCCAGCATGCCCAGTTGTGACAAGCTCACTGCAAAAGGCACCCGAGATCACATGGCAAGGGGAAGGGACCCTCCCCTTCCCAAAATACCCTTCAGATGAGGAAAGTTCTGGGCAGCAGTGTGGGAGAAGTCAGATAGCTGCCTCTCATGCTGTACCTGCTCTTTGAGGCAACACAGGGGCTCCAGGACTGTCAGGGCAGCACCGTTCATAAACAATTTCAGAGATGTTATATAGCAAATAAAAATAAAATTGCTCTTTATAATAAAGTGCTGCCACATGCACACACACACACAGTATGTTCAGCCTCTAGGAAATGTATCCAAAAGGTGCTTGTATTCAAATTGCATG